CTGCCACTGGTGCCACTGCTGCTGCTTTCTGCTTTGCTGTGCTGCAACTGCTGCTTTGCTGTTGCTGCTGCTGCCACCGCCACTGCTGGCTGCTTGCTTTTGCTCAGATCACTACCAAATTCTCCGCGGCGCAAGGTGGAGTCGAATGGGGGGGGAGGGCCCCCCCCCCTTGACATTTAAAACCAACTCTTAAACGACCGAAATCAAGCACCGGACCACTTCACCGCCCCCAATACATAAAGCAAAGACAACTCAGGTAGCGTAACCGCTACCTTTCGTGACCTTCGCCAAACTTTCGCCTTTTGCGGGGTAGAGTTTTGTGGCAAAGCCACCCCCCCAAAGCAGGAGCAGGAATAGTAGTAGTAGTAGTGGTAGTAGTAGTAGTAGCAGCAGCTGCAGCAGCAGCAGGAGAAGTAGTAGTAGTAGTAGTAGCAGCTGCAGCAGCAGCAGGAGTAGTAGTACTAGTAGTAGTCGTCGTCGTCGTCGTGGTGGTGGTGGTGGTGGTACTAGTAGTAGTGGTAGCGGTAGTGGTAGTGATGGTGGTAGTAGTAGTAGTAGTAGCTGCAGCAGCAGGAGTAGCAGTACCAGCAGCAGCAGGAGTGTAGGAGGAGGAGGAGGAGTAGTAGCAGCAGCAGCAGGAGTGTAGGAGGAGGAGGAGGAGGAGGAGGAGGAGTAGTAGTAGTAGTAGTAGCAACAGCAGCAGAAAGAACATCTTTAGCCATATCTTTCGCCCCCCAAAATATACTTTCGCCAACTCGAGAAACAACTTTTGCCAAATGAGATTTTGATATGTTCCGGGTCATCGTCATCAACAATCCTGTCTAGGACCTTTAGATCGACAACCACATGCGAAATGCAAACATGGATTCCTCCGAAGACTTTGGCAGCGAAAGAAAGAGTGGAATGCACACATGGAGCGCACGGAGTGGTGCAAAGCAAGCAGTACGGGCTTGGACTTCGTAGTTCTTTTGCCACCAAGCACAATGCGCATGAAATGCAAGCGACTCAAGATTCAAAACCAAGGGTCGGGCGCAAACTTTTATTTCAATTTCACGCTGGTATCGGGCGTTGCTTTTCTTTTCTTCTCACACGTCAACTCTGCTCCCCTGAATTGGCATCTGCCCCCTCCGATTCTTTTCTTGCCAATGGATTGATTATCCCGACTGTTCAGTGGCCTCTCTTCATCACGTGTGCAAACGGGGGTGAAAGTTGAATACGAAACTACCAGCAGAACAGTCCGAAAGGTATAAGAATTCTTGGGATGAAGGGGAGTAGAAACCAGTATGATTAACTTTGCTAGGCAAGGGTTGGGGCGAATCAATCCTCTTGCATCTCCTCCACCCCTTATTCTTTCAGTAGTCTTCAAGAGCATATCTGCAAATAGGAGTTGAGCAAGGAACAACCACCAAGTCACTATCTGAGAAAGAGGCAAGTTTATTGAGACTTGACTAGAAGGAGATCGTTGATAACAAAAGGACAAGCAAACAAATCAATTCTACCAGCACCAGCAGGGGAGGGACGGAATAAAAGGAAACAATGCGCTTGCCGAACAATGCAGCCTACGATTCAAATCTTCTCTTGCGTGGGGTAAGCAATCTTGTTACAAAAAACACCCGAGCCCGCACAAACACTTTGTGCGCATAACATTTTGTCCAAATGAGGTCAGTTTCTGTTTGGGCTTGAGAATGCATGTTTTGTCGATAAGTGCATGACTTCTTTAGTGACATGTGGTCTTAAGGGAAACTTTGCACCTGCCCAGCCGATACTGCAGCATGAAGCCAGTTGATGAAAGCGCTGCGCGTCACAGGACCTGAGAAGGGGGGACGAAAGCCAGCAGCCGCCAGACGAGTGTCTCTTTTTCTGGCGGGCGTCGCGCCACAAGACACATGGTCGGCAGCTTGCGAGTCAGCGGTGGCGCGGATGCGGGGGGGGTATGTAATGGGGATGGAGGGAGCAGAGAAGCAAGCCCGGCGGCTTTGGGATAAGTTTGGTATGAAAGAAGTAAGTAATGAAAGAGAAGTGCGATACGTTGTATGTTGGCGTAGGTCCGTCTGAGTTCGGGTGGTGGGATCGCGCGCGCGCGCGAGTACGGCATGCGGTTGAAAAGAAGCAGTTATGTGTTTGTTACATTTGGAGTGTTTGAAATTTGCAATGCACACCGCGGCGCGTCGAAATGTGGCATTCGTTGACTTGGAAGAGTGAACGGGCACGTCTTAGCCGGGACACGGACGTTTGATCCCACGGCGCAGAAGGGGAGGTCCAGCAGGAGTAGCTTGGGCTAGCAAAGGAGTGAGGATTTGTGTGCCTATCGACGCACATGCCTGGACTTGAGTGAGTCATGCTCTGGCTCGATCCAAAAATCTTTTCCTTTAAAGGGGCCTTTATTAAACGATCCAAGCACCTTCTTTATTCTTCTCTTTCTTATCAACTCTGCGCCTTTCTCACTCAGAGGCCTTGACTTTGGCACCTGCGTGTGTAGATCCTTGGGCCGTGGGCCCAGGCTGACTGGATTCGGCCAGGGCTGCCAGCAAAAAGGCGACGTCATGAGTCAGTAGTATATAGAATCTATCTATCTATCTACCTATCTATCTGTCTGTCTATCTATCTATCTCTTTCTATCTATCTATCTACAGGAAGCCTATGAAACGAATCGAATCGTGAATATCGAGCCGGTTTTGAAACGGAAACGCTCGAAACCAAACGAACAACGAATCGGAAACGATTGAAACGATAAATTATTTGAAACGAAACGAAACGCAGCAAATAAATTTGTTAAACGAAACGAACCGAACCGAAAAAACACAAAAACGAAACGTGAAACGGCGGAAACGAAGGGCGAGAAAAATTACGAAACGGCCGAATCGCCTGGCACCCCCTGGGTCGGCGGCAGGGGTTGGAGCCCCTCTCTCCTTCGGAGAGGAGAGAACCCTCCAACGGGGTTTGCTACCTGTTGCTTTACCGGCTACGGGCCATTAGAGAAAAA